TATTTCTGCTAGTTATCCCCCAAACAAGATACAATAATACTTAGGCCCATGTAACTGTGAGGAGTGCCCCAGGGTAACGCTGGTCTCTACAACAAATGAAGATCACTGTTAGGGGTCGGTTGTAGACCGACACACGCTCCGGGAGCTGGCGCCTGATTTGCAGGAAACGGACTTCCCAGTTTAATCCTGTCGAATTAACGGCATCGTCCAACCCGGTTACCGACCCACGTTAGCCGATGAGTATTCAGCTCAACACACTGGAGAGACGTTGAGGAAGTCACGAATGCGTAAAGGTCTAACTTCAACTATACAAAACATACGCCTGGCAACGGTTCAGACAATATCTAAATCTCTACGTTACTCGACTTAATTGGCACAGAATTCACTATGTTAACACATGAGCACTGATATTCACCAAAATTGACTAAGTTAAACTGAATTAATAGGCGGCGGGAACACACGTTAACATACCTGGAGAGACGTTGAGGAAGTCACGAATGCGTGATTCTCCCTCGTGTCGAGGTATATACGTGCACTCGCGGGGCAGCTTGGGCCTCCGTATTCATACCAGAAGGGTCAATCTTACCAACAACAAAACTTCTCTATCATTTTGGATCACTGTATACTTAGTTATGAACTCCGGTGTTCTTGATCAGGGTAATTTCCTATGTCTATTCATATAATCTAATCAGAGGTTGAGCTTGCCAGGAAAAGGTGGAATATACACGTTGATAACATTAATTCTGCAAGCTCAGGCTTGAGGCGAACAAGGCGCTATTCACGGGGAGGCGCTAGATCTTGGAGATTATACCAGTTGACAGAATAGTTCAGGAGATTAATGACTTTCTTAAATAGACAACTGACACTAACTAAACTATAAACATCAGATTCTCTGATGTCGGGGCGACAAAATGATATAACTTCAGGCGCGATCAGAAACTCATGGATACCCCCACGGACGACATAAAATACGCCACTCTAGCTGGCAAACTCGACACTCACTTACTTGACACGTTCTACTACCGATAAGGACAGTTGAAGCGTTCTACCCCACTCACAATGGATCTTGAATGTTCCAACTGTAAACAGACATATCTAAGTTGACTCAAAACAAGGGTGTTCTCTCTCACACTCAAATTCATTTTATAGAGAGGTTGGTTTCAGTAAGTCAGAGAAAATGGGATAACGGAGGACTGAGGTGTCTTGAAGTGATGAGAAAACGGACTCCTCAGATGGAGGACTCAAACGAAAGCCGAGTTACATGTTTTGTGGGCTTTTAAGCGTAATATGAATCATTTGATTTTGGCGCTAACTGACGTGTAAGACCGTGGTCATTACAATATATATGTATATATATATATATATATATATATATATATATATATATATATATATATATATATATATATATATATATATATATATATATATATATATATATATATATATATATATATATATATATAATTACTATTATTATTATTATTATTACACAAACACACACGAAGTCAAATTCCCAAAACAGAATCATGATATCTCGTTATTTGCCAGAGAGAAACTACACATAACAGAAGAATGTAATATAAAAGGAAAAAAACATCGTCTTATCTTATCGTGACATGCCTCATCCTGTTGTGTTGTTAATAGAGCTGTCTGAATCTTCTCACACAGCAGAGCTTGTTTACACTTATCAGTAATGTTATTAAAACAGTGAGAAAAACATGTTTTAGAATGAGTGTTCGTTACGACATGTTACAGCTGTGGAATACAGATAAAAAAAATTATCTAGCTTACTTTCCAATGAGATTTACCAAGTAATCATAATGTTAAAATTTTGGAGGTAATACTTCACACTCATTAACTCTTCACTCACTTCTTCCCACACTTCCCCCTTCCCTCACGCTATACGTTACACATAGAAAGCCTAAATCCCCTACATAACATAAATCCGGACAAACTGATCTATATAAAAAAATCAACTCAAAATATTCCTCTTCTTGTGTAGGTATTTCAGTACCAGGTTTTGTTATGACCTCTGTACTGTTGAGGCGCCTGGGAGTGTCCACACCTTCGATATGTAAACTTTATACCACAGGCCATCTATTTACAACTTGTCTATGCCCAAACATCACCTTTTCTGTGTAACACTCTTAACATGTTGGATATTACCACTAACACCTTCTCTCTAATTTGAATTACTGTCTTTATGCTGCCGTATTCCCTTCACACGGATATCACAAACACCTGCCTCCGAGTACAGCTTAAATATCAAGCTTTCTGTAATCTATTTATTCCCTTCACGCAGAGGATATTATCGCCCATATGTCACCCTCTTGGTTAATACCTGACTAATAAACAATCGTAGGCTGACGGTGTTGCTCGTCTTGTAATGGCCAAACTGTGCAAGTGCTTTTATTTATCTTTCTGTGACACTGTTGCCTTGGGGATGGTAAGGCAAGGTAAAATATAGAAATGAAACAAACAAACACACTGAAATAAAGACTTAGAAAATATATTAAAATAGAAAACATAAATATAGAAATAATAATATAAAATACAACAGAAAAATATAGAAAAGATAAGTAGACTAATCTCTCTTACACAGCTATGGATAAAAGGAACAAGTATAGAATAAAAACAGAAACGCCACCCCACCCCCCCTATTTCAGTCTCACGTTAGATTGTTGTACAGTAGACAGAGAGAAAAGAAACAACGTTAAAATTCCCTCAGAGTCAACGGATGGAGTTTATTTATGTGTCAGCAACTCATCATATCCGCCTTCTCAGTGACACGCTAGTGAGTGACGACATCTTACTGAGACAGATTGTAAGAGTATGCAAACACAGAAGAAGGCAGAGCATTCCACAGTTTGGCTATGTGAAGAAAGAAGGATGCACTATAATGGGTTATTCAAGTGTGACCGACATCCACACAGAAAAAGGGGGAGGGGGGGGGGTCACCGCGGTACACAGGATGCCAAAGCCACTGAACATTGCCCATTAAAGTACCTGTAAAAGTGATAGAATGAAGCAACATGGCAGTGAAGAGAAAGGGAAGAGAGATTTTCAACTAAAGGAGGAGAGTTAATAAGACGAAATGCCTTCAATTCCACCCAATCTAACAGTTGGACAAAAGAACCACCCCAGATCGGAGAGCAGTACTCCAAGGTTAATTTGGATATCTAAGTACAGCGAAGACCGAAACTAAAATTTCCCTAATATTCGTTTTTATCCCAATAAGCATTCCAGTTTTTTTTTTTTTTTTTTTACCATTATCACTAGGATTCTTTTTAGTTCGGAATCGATTTTCTTATGGTGTTTCCGGCGCAAAATTAAATTTTTCAAGTAGAGGGAAAATGAGGGGTAAAATACCAAAAAGAACACCAAACAAACCTTTAAAAACCTTACCTAACATATAAATATCCTAAAATCTATTCTTGTTTTCGGTGTATAATGTGTTGGTGTAGTTTTCGGTGTATAATGTGTTGGTGTAGTTTTCGGTGTTCAGATGAAGAGGACGAGCCATGAACCTTTTTATAGGTTAAGTAAGGTTTCCAAAGTTTTGTTTGCTCATAGTGTTAACCCCACATTTACCCTCTACTTCAAAACCCTGCCCGCTTTGAGCACTCAATATTGTTGGTAATTGGCAGAGATCTTATCGTTTAAAATACTCGAAAAATGTAAATTTGTGCCAGAAACGCCATAGAAGAAAATCGATTCCTAACTAAAATATAATAATCCTAGTGATACTGGTAAAAAATCCGAAATATCCATTGGGATAAAACGAATATTAACCCAATACAGTAATAAATAACTGTAGTATTTCAGGCTACATTAGGTAGAATGCAGCAGTATCTAAAAAGCATCCGTGAAATGAGCCACTTTTTTTTTTATTATTGGGCACCCCCCTACATCCTTGTGTAAGGTGAAGCGCAGAAGCGTTTACAGCGCCCAACAGGGAAGCATGCTAAGTTCATGCTTGCCTTTATGTCTCATGAGTTAAGGGCGTAGAAGCCTGAAGAGTCAGTGGTTTATGTCATCAAGTTATTGGAAGCTCCAACTCCCTGAATACGAATTCGGAACTTTCGACTTACAACAGGTACCTACTTTTACTGCTAGGTGAACAGGGACTAATGGGGGCTAGGAAGTAAGTCCAAACAACTTCCACCGGCCCGGGAATCGAACCCGTGACATCTCGCTTGCGAGGCAAGAACGGTACCGCTTCTACCACCGGTCCCCCAATGAGCCACGGTTTAAAAAGTAAACACAGCGGACAGATTATTCCGGAGACGGACAAACAACAATCGTAAAAGTGAAATTATTCTACCCAAAACGTATTCCTCCTGCATTTTTGTAATTTTCTCGAGACATGAAAGCTTTTATCTTCTAAGATAAATTTCCTCAAGCTGCCGCTAATGCCGCACTACTTCGGAAAATATTTACCCACCAATGCCACCATGACGCCATTTTTTCTTATACTTTAGTTTCGGCTATATGCGTTTTCACATCACGACTTAGGAAACAGTATCAGCGTACTAACCTTTGAAAATCCAGACCCATAACTTCATGAACTGAAGACGTTTTTCCAGTTGGTGGAATGGCGTCAACAAGATCTTGGCGTGTGGGCTTATCTGGTTCAACTCAATCACCGTAAAACAGCTACAACAATACATCTTGTAAGGTCTGTCGCATTGGACGATGGTTCACAGCTTATATGTTAATCCCTTGTATCACTGAGGTACACCAGAGCCCACAACAACTTCACTTTACCTTGTTTCTCTGACGATACAACGATATTATCCCTACAACAACATTCTGTGATTTGAGTCCAAGAGACTCGACTCCTAGCAGAGCAGACGCAGAGTCGGGGATTCAAGTAATTCAAATTCATTCGAAACATCGCTCAGTGCTCCGTTGTATTTTTTTCATTTTGAAGTCATTACTCTTACAGGGTAATCGAGCTTTCTAGATCATTCACGTATATTAAAACACAAAATAAATATATATTAGAGAATATTTTATTAAAAAATATTTTCAGGATTTACAGATTCAAGCATTATAAAAATTTCGTGTTATGTTAATACTATACAGTGATCAAGGTAAGTGGAATGGCACTAAGTGAAACAAGTCTCGAAACATTTACAAACAGAAGAGAGCTTTAAAAAGTACATTTTCTAAAAAGATAATTATTACATTGAGATACACACCTAAAGTACAGTACATGGAGATGAAAGCAGAGTATTATTAAATATTACTTTACAATATATATATATATTTATTTTTAAAGATATAAAATATCTTAAAACATAAATCTTGATATAGAGATAAACAATGCGATTATTTAAGTTTTGTTAAGATATTACACGAACAAACCTTTCCCGAAAAACAAAGAAAAACTAAACATATTTAGCTAAAAAATATAGTAAAATTACATCCACAATTTTTTTTACGTGGTACTGGCGACTAGACTTATGAGGGGAGATTCTTATTATACTTCTGTTTGAGGAGTATTTCTTGAAGCTCCTGAAAACACTAGAAACTACAGTGGTGTCTAAAGCTATTTAATGCGTTGTTGTTGGTGGTGGTGATAAGATTTAGGTGATTCAACTATCGAGAACCAGATATCTTACATTTTTTTTTTTTAATTTGAAGGAAAAAATCCATCTGCGTACTTAATAATTACAAGGAATATGATTGAGAATAATATAGACCTGCAGACACGTTCAAGAGGCCTGTGTGAAGGTAGGGAGGGAGTGGTGGTGAAGGAGAACTTCTTACGTCAGGTTGTGTCTTCATGCGAGAGTTCCTGAGATATGACACCACACGCCACTAACTCCTACATTTAAAGTAATTTCTACAAGTAACCTTTACATATCAAGTAGCAAAGAATCACTACATGTAACTTCTACATTTCAAGTAATTTCTACAACTGTCATTTTAACTAATTTGAGTGACAATAGCAACAAGCAGAAGGAAGCAACAATACAATATGGACAAAAATCTGTGGAAGTATGTCATTGATAAGCCTGAACACATTACCAGGTGAGGCACATTGTTATAAGACTTTGTAGTGAGTTGTAAGGCTTTAAAGTGAGCTGTAAGACTTTGTAGTGAGTTGTAAGGCTTTAAAGTGAGATGTAAGACTTTGTAGTGAGTTGTAAGACTTTGTAGTGAGTTGTAAGGCTTTGTAGTGAGTTGTAAGGCTTTAAAGTGACCTGTAAGACTTTGTAGTGAGTTGTAAGGCTTTAAAGTGACCTGTAAGACTTTGTAGTGAATTGTAAGGCTTTAAAGTGAGCTGTAAGACTTTGTAGTGAGTTACGAGACTTGTAGTGAGTTAAAAAGGTTTGTAGTGTGTTAGAAAACTTTGGAGTGTTATAAGACTTTGGAATGAGTTATAAGGCTTAGTTCTACATAGATAATACTGTTTTTGGACGTCTTTTTTATACCAATAATTCTCGCCTCGTCAGTATTTCTCTAAGCCTCTAAGCATATTTATATTATTCATCTACGTATTCTTTTTTATTTATTTTTTATTGTGTCTGTTTTATTACATCTCTTACCAAGATGCCAGAAGATTTGATTATTGTTTTGAGTTCGTTATTTGTTTGTTTTTCGTTTGAGTTTGTTGCCGGGAGAGGGGCTGCTCATTCGTAGGAGACTTGAGCCACGTATCCTGAGTCTCCATTGACGGTGTAGGAGACGATCTGCATACGGCCATCAGGGAGGAGGACACGGTATTGCCCCGATGTGTCCGAACCGTCCCGACGTTCAGCGTGGGCGAAGTCGTTGCCATAATCCGGGGCATTTACCTCGTATCCGAACTCGTAGCGGGGCTGGCGGGAGGGCAGGAGAGTAACAATATCCATGTATTAGGTTATGAAATATTAGTCTTAGGTCTCTTTTTAAGTGGGTTCTAGGGTGTTAATTTTATCAATTCGTTGGAGATAAGATTAGATTACTTTTAATGTGATTAGATATGGACTGGAGTCGAAATTTTCTAGATGTTTCTACTGTCCAACAGAGAGGCATAAGTAAATAGACAGACAGACTTAGACAAAACTAACCACGTTTGCTTGGGGGTCTCTCAGCTGAGGCACTGCCAGGACACAGGATAACACCGCCAGCGTCGCCGTCAGCAATAGAACCTGAGGGAGTGGAAGAAGTGCTAACGTTAACTGGCTCATTGACACGCTACTCATGTGACTACAGGTGGTGCTGTGCATTCCTTTCCCTCTCTATTTATCTATCTATATGTATCCCTATAGTAATCACCTATTTCTTTATTCCACCTATCTTTATCTGTATGCGCATGTATGTCTTCTGTTATAATATCTTTCCCTATATCTGCTAATCTCCATTTCTCTCTTTATCAATATGGGTTTCTTTCTGTATTCATCTATATTTTAATCAGGGCTTAAATTTCGCAATGCTGAACCACCACGTTCAGCGGTGAGTGTAGCGGGCTCATACAACTGGGGGCCCGGGACAAATTTTGAAATCGGACCATGTCAGGGTCATTTTGAGGCCACATGCACTGGATATTAGGATATATTCTTAGGTTGAGGACGCAATATTTTCAACATCCTAAGTGTGATTATCAGTACAGACTTGTATCAAACTGTCCTGGTCCAAATACTGTATTACAAGGAGCCTCAAAACCTTCAAGGGGGGGGGGGGGCAGATTTCGCCGAAGGGGGCCAAAGTTCCCTGACCCCCCTCTGGATCCGCCTATGACTGTATGTGCAAGCAGCGCAAAACTACCATGAATATGGTTATAAATATATTGTATTGTATAGCAACAATATTCTACTATGTGTACCAGTGGGCTGCATCTCAATAAACAAAAGTTAGTTGAACGAAACAAACCCAATTATTGATCGATATTTTTATTGGTACGCAGCTAAGAAGTACAGATATTTATTATAATTTATTTTATGTATTTAAAAACAAATGGTTGTCACTGTATCTATTATTTATTAGGATTAGAGTTTTGGGGGCTGAGCAACCACTGCCTTACCGAGCGTTCGAATATACTTTAACGGTGCTTTTAATATATTTATCTTCAACTATTATACCTCACTAGACCTCTCTTCTTTCCATCATTATCTCCCTATCAAAATTTTTTTCTGTTTTACGATTGATATTATTTTCATTGCTTACACAACCATCCCTTATAACCATTACTGTTACGTGTTGAAAACTAGTTAACTTCTGTAATGGCGTAACACAATCAATAACTTCCTGCCAGAGGGTTTAGGCCGTCTCGGACTGGCGGTGGTCACAGCTTTGGAACTTATCCGTATTGGAACAAAATCCCCACCAGCAGAGAACTACGCAATGCTCACAACTTTCCGTCACCACCATACTTTGTGCATGAGTGAGCGTGAAGAGTTGCCAAACGCCAGAATACGTTATTCTACGGGTTGATGACAATTCATTACTTTTTTATGTATGTAGTGAATATTTCTTCCTAGTACTATTATTATTTATGGTTTAAATATTCACTTGTCTTTTGTTGATTTATTTTACTTACAGTATAAGTCGTTTTATTGATAATGTACTGGTTATTCACATATAATAATAATAATAATAATAATAATAATAATAATAAAAATAATAATAATAATAATAATAATAATAATAATAATAATAATAATAATAATAATAATAATAATAATAATAACTCATCATCCAAGTAGTTAGTAACGGCTGAGGGATTTTCAGTATCATGTTCGACTCAATAACTTGGAAATGATTTTTATTATGCTATTTCGATCGTAATTTCTGTTTGGTTTTAGGTAAAAGCAGAGATAAAATTATATAAAACTATCTATGGACACACACACACACACACATTTTACGTGTTAAGCTTACCGAAACCTGCTTAAATTTACGAAAATTTATGGTTTTCTTTTCAGTAAATTTCCCTACAGATCTAAATACTAAAAACATGATCACGTAAATTAATTTTGGTCATTGAAAATCGAGACTTTAATCCTAGATAACACTTTTTTTGTAACATCGTTTTATTAAAAGACATCAGATATTATACATCTAATTAATTTTGATCTGAGGTCATACAGGAGGAGACTAGATATTATTATTATTATTATTATTATTATTATTAGTAGTAGTAGTAGTAGTAGTAGTAGTAGTAGTATTACTGAAGGCTTTTTAATACTGAAATATGTCTAGAGTGTACCACACGTAATTAGTGTAAATATTTGCGAGGCAGCAAATGTTCAGCTGATACTTGTAAACTTCACCTAATTGGCCAATAGTCAGCTGATACGTTGTAAACATCACCTGATTGGCTAGTGGTCCGCTGATCACTCAAATAGGCCCAAAATAACAAGAGAACCATTTAAAAAACACGGTAAATGCTATAACTACCTTGAGGGCGGCCATCGTGGGTGAGGTGTGGGCGGGTGGAGGTGTGGTGAGGGTGGAGTACCGACCGTAACTGATGTTGTTGAGAGAAAATACACCTGAATATATAGCAGCATGAAGCCCACTCCTCCCCTTGTCTCCTTCTCTCCCCCCACTACCTACCCTACCTTCCCTCATCTCCCCTCTCCTCCTTCCCCTCCCATACACCCATCTTACCCCCCCTCACCCCCCCATCTCTCTTACTCCTCATCCCTCCCACTGTAGTAATTACGTACACCAAAAATAGTTAATTGCTGTGATAGATTGGCCCTGAGGTGCACCACTCCCTCCCTCCCTCTACCCGTTGTCTCTCAGTGTCTCTCTATCTCGCTATTTTTTATTTTCCTCTCTGTCTCTAATATGTTCCTATCTCTGTCTCTCCCCCTGTTTCTGTCTATCTATTCCTGTCTATTTAATGTATCTATATTTCTATATCTTGTATGTTTGTCTCTCTAAATGTCTGTCTGTTTATATCTCTATGTGTATCTCAGTGTTTGTTTTTGTGTTTCTCAGTCTCTCTGTTTTTGTCTCTCTCAGTCTCTCTGGTTTTGTGTCTCCGAGTCTCTGTTTCCGTGGCTCTGTATATTGTCACCAATGTCTCTCTATGTATCTCTAACCGTCTAACGTCTCTCCCCATCTCTCAATTTGTCTGTTTCCTTCTCATTACTGTTTTATTATTTATCATTTTCCATTTTTCTATCATTATCCTCCCTTACTTACTCCTCAATAAAATAAATGCGATTTGTCATTATTGGTGTAATTAATACTCTTCATTAATTTAGTTAATTAATTACGTAATCAATTCGAAAACATATCAATAAAATTATGATTATTTTTTTTTTGTTAATCCTCGATAATGAAGTTAATTCTAAGTAAATTATTTAGTGCTGTAGCGTGTATTTCGTATCATTTCAGTCATTAGGTAGTAGGTAGTAGGCAGCTATCAAACAGGGAGGTTTACCGCCTGGGAAGATATTGGAAGCATAATGTATTGTCTAACGGTAGACCCTGCTGCCATATGGCATCACAATATTTGTGACCAAGTCCCAGGTTGCTGATCTGACTTTCTGCCTCATTTACACACAATTGCAGGGTCTCAATTGTTTCTCTTAGTTTGACAAAACATACATACTGTATATCATTTCTCACTCATGATTAATTTTTTTTCATTTTCGCATTTATTTATGGTTATTATTATTATATTATTAAGTTATTTTTTTTATTATAATTTTTATTAATTATTATTATTATTATTATTATTATTATTATTATTATTATTATTATTATTATTATTATTATTTTTATTATTATTATTATAATTATTATTATTATTATTATTATTATTATTATTATTATTATTATTATTATTATTATTATTATTATTATTATTATTATTTTATTATTATTATTATTATTATTATTATTATTATTATTATTATTATTATTATTATTATTATTATTATTATTATTATTATTATTATTATTATTATTATTATTATTATTATTATTATTATTATTATTATTATTATTATTATTATTATATCCCCCCCCAAGGCGCTGATGTGGGTCAGTGATCTGTGCCCGGGTGGGCTAATGCCAAAAAAAAAAAAAATATCAAAACATGATCTACAGCGTCAGACCAGAATAGCCTCGTGTCTTCAAGCAGATGCCGCGCACAGCGTAGTACAGTAGACCATCGAACACAACCTCCAATCTATCAGCGTCACTCCAACCGAATAAATGATACGTATTTAATAACTCACTTGACTTAGATTCTGTTTAAGTTTTGATGACACAACATTGAGATTTTAGGAGTCGTTTTTGCCTCCTGGATAGTCTTTCTCATATCTCTATCTGAAACTGCTTCAATAAACCTTGGACACATTCAGAGTAGGCCTATACTTCCCGATGAATAATTAGTAACCGCGTATGCAAGTCATGGTAGATCTAAAACGGAACATTGGTGTTATATGTGAGCTGAGTGTGGTGTTGGGGCATTTCACCTCCTCGATTTAATGCAGAAACAACAATACTAACCTAACCGAAATACTTCCAACATAGATCTCTCTCGCGGTTCACCTCTGTTCTATAAATATATCCAGTTACTATTTTCATACACTATACAGCTTCATCACCTCGCTGTTACTATCAGCCATCGAGAACATTTGTAGGGTTTATGTCTTTTCTGTAAGTATTTCATCATAAAATGTCTACCCTCATTGATGCCCCGGACTTGTACTTTTGTGAAACTCTCCGCCAGTGATTTTTTTCCTCAATCACATAATAAACCTCAGGTAATTAAAACATCTTGCTTCATAAACTTCAACATCTAGCAGGGGAGTGAAGAAATATGACGGCTCGACAACTGTCTGATCTCTCCCTACGCTGTCTATCGTAAAAAAAAATGAAGAAAAATCTAAAACTTAATGAGGGAAGACCACAGCATAATGATTATAATAAGTGAAATTTATATATTCATTATTTTGTTCTTGTCATTACGCTTATTTATATAACTAGACATAAAGCATCACAGGTCATAAGTGTTAGATGATATATGTTAAGTTTTAATTTTATAAGACTATAATTAGCAGCCGTGACACGACACCTCAACAGCAGACTCCTCTCAGGCTGCAGAAACACACACTTGTATGTTACTTCCTCCACAAACTAAGATGAATGAACCATATCTAATATAGTTAGAGTTTCGTTGCCTTTCCATCGCCATTTGAGTCTATAGCTTTGCATCTAATATACTATAGGACTAGCCGTGTGTCTGTCTGTGTGTGCGTCTGTTCTGGGCAGCCGAAACGGCACAATCGTTTTTCATCAAACTTGGTGGAAAAATAGCAAAAAAAATCGTAAAGTGGAACAAACCTGGTCCCATATCGATGGTTTCTTTAGGAAACCATTAATTAACTATTTTATTTACGATGGAAAACGATGCAAGTCTACGGACTTGGCGCACCCTAATTAACCATGCAAGTCTACGGACTTGGCGCACCCTCATTCCCTGTACGCTGTCACGAGCGTTCAAACTCTCACAAGGGCACTAACGTGCCCGCGATCACTTGTTGTTACTAAGATGAGCGAATTAGATGCGCTCTTACATTATCAGTTTGGAATTAAATTTTCAAACGATCTTTGGAAGGCGGACAATGTTAGCATATTACAACGAACTATTTTATAACGTAAACAATCCGAACTTCAGCTAAATAAATGTAACCTAGCTTTACGGTCTTATATTTAGGACATATGAATGGGTGAGAGTTTAAGAGAAAAGTTGATGGTTTTACGGTCTTATTCGGGATAACTTGCATATATATATATTTTAACATTTGACCATTTTGTACGAAACTTTGAGAATCTGCGGCCAGTCTGCCATTATTCAACACAAGAAAAACGTTAAATACATTTCTCATAATTACCACATCCACGATCTAGTACAACGTCCACGGGTTTTTCTTCTGTTTTTGTTCCTGGTAGTTTCGTCCTCGCCCGCCTGTGGTGAGTGTAATATCTCATAACTTTCTGGTGGTCAGTTATTACAGTCAGTGTTTCAAGGCTGTTCCTTGTTTCCCTTTCAAAGATGGCCTCTTGGCGACATCCAGCGACTCCGGAGGTACTGCTTTCAATTGTGCTGTGGGTTTTGTAGTTTTACAGTACATCATATAAAGGTATTGTTTTGGGAGTTTTAAGGAAGACTTATTTTCAAATTGTATGATAAATGAAATTCACCCCCTTCTCTTCTTCCAGTGTTTTCTAATTTCCATTCTCAAACTGTTCTTTCTCTCTGGTAGATGCATGACATTCGTAAGCCTACAATACCTATCATAATTTTCACCAGGACAAACAGTTCATAACCTACCCAATGACTCACGACTCACTCTACCTCCCACCACACGACATCTTTCACTCCTTCAGTAATGCATCAATAATTACCAACATTCAGCGATTTCCAACCTCTCGCCATCATCCTCACTCTCAGTCTCCCCCTGCCGTGTGTGTGTAAATTATTGCCTTGTAAACATTTTAAACTTCATATAACGCAGCACAGAAAAACACACAACCTCCAGAGCCTTGACATTCATCAGGTTAATTAAGACGTGCGACTGAGTTCACCACATGTTAAGTCATTTCCGCCAGGACTCACACATTGCTTCATTCCGTGGCTGGAGGACATCTCTCGTGACCGCCGGCAGTATCCTACACTTACAGGGGAACATCTCCAGCTTCCAATCCCACATCCGTAGTGTTTTCCAGGACACACAATTGTTACTTCTCCTTTCCCTATTTTAATTCATGATGCCTTCTAGGATGCACAGTTCTCTTGGAAATAAGCAGAAAACTCATCCGTGGGTGCTGGCATTAACCCTCTGAGTGATATAAAGGTTTCTCTCAACTGAATAAAATCGCCTGGCATTACCCAGAATAAAATGCCTAATTGCAACACTACTCCTTAAAGGGTTAACAACGACTCTGTCTACTACAGTTCCATCCCAAACACATTATCCTATTGTCTGGGACGTCTTGACACATGGAGAGTCACTGATCAAAATATAAGTCACCAATTAAAGAAACTTCACGAACAATAACACACAAACACACACCAGTCTTTAATTAGTAATCCCGTGTTTCTTTCATAATACAATATAATATGACACGCAACCCTGGTACACCTCCCCCACACACACATTAACATCCCGTATTATCACGTAACACACCTCGTGCCCGTTCACCTGGCTGTTCCCCACTCCGGCACCGTCAATTTCCTCATCCCTTCGTCAGCTAAACTCTATCATTATCTGAATTACGGCAGATAGGTGCTGTGGCCCGCTTCCCCTTCCTCCTGCGTTGCTGGCTCTGCTCTGATTGGCTGACTTCCTGTACGAAGGCTCTAATTCTTGCTCTGATCGGCTACTTTCCTGCCTGAATGGTTCTCATTGACTCTCGCTGTGATTGGCTAATTTGCAAGATGGGATAATCAATAGAGGCGCGGACTCACAAG